ATCACTACAGACAAATATTGAAAAAAATTGAAAAAAGAAAGTGTCTAAAAGGTTCGTTCAGTGAATGTCAGGTAGGCTGCTTTATTTTCTATAAAAAATAAAAAACAAATTTAAATAAAAAAAATGAAAAAATTTGAAAAAAGAAAAAAAATGTCTGAAAGGTTCGTTCAGTGAATGTCAGGTAGGCTGCTCCATTTTCTTTAATAAATAAAAAAAATTAAAAATAAAAAAATTTGAAAAAATTTGAAAAATGAAAAACAATCACTTCCTGATTATAATGGAAGGGGACTTTCCTTCCAAACACTAACACCTCTCCTCCTCCTCACAGTCTTCCATATGCCAACAAGAGTCATCAATAAAGGTAAGCAATAACTTGTACATACTTTAGTACTAAAGATTTGGGTGAATTAGGTATAAAATGTATTTTGAAGTTAATTTTTTGGGGAGTGTAGAACAGATTAATTCAATTCCCATTATTTCTTATGGGAAAATTCGTTTCGACTTATGATATTTCGACTTACGATACGTCTCTGGGAACGGATTACCATTGTAAGTGGAGGTTCCACTGTACTTAGTCCAGGTTTTCTTCAAAAGCATGACAATCATTTAAGTTTCTTATCTTCCCTATTATCTTAGCATCATCAGCAAACATGTTCGTATAATTCTGTATTCCAACTGGTAGATCGTTTATGTAGACAATGAACATTACTGGTGCAAGAACTGAACCTTGTGGTACTACACTTGTGACATTCCTCCAATCCGATACATTGCCTCTGATTACGGCCCTCATTTTTCTATCAGGAAATTTTTCTTCCATGTTAGAAGCTTACCTGTCACCCCTCCAATATGTTCCAGTCTCCAGAACAACCTCTTATGTGGAACTCTGTCAAAAGCCTTTTTTAGGTCCAGATAGATGCAGTCAACCCAGTCATCTCTTTCCTGTAAAATCTCTGTGGTTCGATCATAGAAACCGAGTAAATTCGTTACACAGAATGTTACAGATCGAAAACCATACTGTCTGTCTGATATTATATAGTTTTTCTCCAGGTGTTCTACCCATTTAGTTTTAATTATTTTTTCAGTACAGCTGTATTTTGACTACAGTATTACACTTGTCAATGATACAGGTCTATAATTGAGGGGGTCTTCCCTGCTGCCACTTTTATAGATTGGAACTATGTTAGCCTTTTTCCACACATAAGCTACAACTCCTGTACACAGGGATGCCTGAAAAATCAGTTGAAGTGGAATGATGAACTCAGGTACACATTCTCTCAGAACCCATGGTGAAACTCCATCTTGACCAACAGCTTTGTTCTTACTTAGCCCCTTGAGCACCTTTTCCACTTGGTCTCTAGACACCTCTATGTGCTCTATGTTGATCTCTGGAATTTTTATTGTGTCTGGTTCCCTGAAAATTTCATTTTGTTCAAACACACATTGGAACTTTATGTTTAATGTTTCACACATTTCCTTTTCATTTTCCGTGAATCTGTTTCCCATTTTCTACCTCTGAATATTATCCTTTACCTGCAATTTGTTGTTTATGAATTTATAGAATATACCTGGTTCTGTTCTACATTTGTCCACAATCCCTTTTTCAAAATTTCTTTCTGCTTCTCTACTCACTGCCGTGTAGTTTGTTTTCGCATCTTTATATCGCTGGTATGTTTGGGGATTTGGCCTCTTCCTATATTGATTCCATTTTTGTGTCTTTTGGTCTCTGGCCCTCTCGCAATTTCTGATGAATCCTGTTTCCTAGTTCTGCATCTCTGCTTTGGTATAAATTTTATTGTTCCTTTATCATATATTTTACAAAACTTGACATACATCTCATTTACTTCATGTCCTAACAGCAAGTCTTTCCAGTCAAATTCCTTAAAGAAATGTCCGAGTTCCCCATAATGACCTCTCCTGAAATCAGGCTTTTCAACTGCTTCAACCTCATTTTCTTCCAGATTTTAATGCATTGCATACTTTATTCCCAAAAAGATATGGTCACTTTTACCCAAGAGAGGGAGGTACTGAATGTAAAATATCTCTTCCTCTTTCCTGGTAAATATTAAATCCAGCATGGAGGGAACATCCCTTTCCATCATCCTCGTAGCTTGTTTAACATGTTGAAACATGAATGTTTCCAGGATGAGGTTTACGAATCTACACGTCCAAAAATCCTCTGTTCTAGCTTCATATGCCTCCCAGTCTATGGATTTCAAGTTGAAGTTGCTGACTACCAACAGTCGTGATCTAGCTTTATCAGCTCTCACTATAATCTCTCTCATTATTGCTGTAAGACCCTCGCGTTTATTATTCAGCTCCTCCTTTGTCCATGTGTTGCATGGCGGTGGACTATATGCATTTATGATCATTAGTTTATCATCCTGATTGCAGATATCTAGTGGTATTACGTTAACTTCTCGTGGATTGGCAATCATTATTTCATTTACCTTTAGGTGTTCTTTCACCAGCATAGCAACGCCACCGCCTTTCCTAATTTTTCTGTCCCGACTCCAAACTTAGTAGCCCCTTGGAAATATGACCTCATTTAAAATATCATCTTCAAGTTTTGTCTCCGCGAGTGCAACAATGTCTGGCGTCTGCAGCTGTATTACATCACTTAACTCCAGTATCTTTGATCTTGCTCCATCTATGTTGGTGTATACAATTTTCAGAAACATGTTCCCCCTCTGCTCATTCTTCGCTACCCTTTTTATAGTGATTTTGTTGGTTTGCCTTTTTGTACCATTTTACTGGCCTGCTTACCCCTATCACTTTGTTGAAAAAAGAATTGATTTCTTCTTCATTCCTGCTCTCATTTAGACATTTTGCCTTGATGAGGTTCAGTTTTAGCTTCTCTCTCTGTCTTCTTTTGAAAGATCTCGTCTTAATGACCATACTTTCTCTTCCTCATCACTTTGTAATTTTCTAGCATTCCTTAGTACTTCTTCCATCTGTTTGGCACCGTTTAGGGTGATCCTCAAAGGTCAATCTTTCCTTTTTACGTACCTGCCTATTCTCCTGTAGTCGCACACATTCTCTATGGTTGTAAGACCTTCCACGAGGCCAACAATTTTATCTACTACTTTCACTTCTTCTACAGCTCTTTCTGACCTAGATGTTTTCGCCTTTTCTTTGCAACCAAAAATTAATTGGGACTTCGATCGACTGTGTTTTGCACCAATTTAGGATTTGATGCCAATTCCTTTCCGACTTCAGCCTAATGTTTGTTTTATCTTGGTTGCTGCAGTGTTTGACTTCCTTTACTGCTTCTTCTATTTTTTCCTTCTCCTTGGCCACTTGTGCATAAGTGAGTTGCATATCTTTCTTGCACTGTTCTATTCCCTGTGTAACTTCCTCCATCTGTGCTGACAAAAGCTGTTTCTCCTGTTGAATTTCATTACCTAACCTATCGTAGTCATTTAACTTCTTTAACTTTAACATTTAACAGAATGTTAAATGTTAAAGAAGACATTTACTCTTTAGCAGAAGTCTTTAACAGAAGTCTCATCTTCTTTAACAGAAGTCATTTAACTTCTTAAATTTGCTTTAGCTTCTTCCAGAGCTATTTTAAGAGTTTATTTTCCTCTTCCATGGCTTTGCAATTTGTTTCCAGTTGATTTTTGTCCTTGCATAAGTCTTTCACTAACCCCTCAAGACCTAAAACTTTGCTACTCAAGTGCTCATTACTTTCTTTCAATTTGCTGATTATTTCTACATGATAGTTTACTATAATATCTAATTTTGCCAATTTGTTGTGGAGAGCGGTCCGTCTAATTACCACATGCTACCACAAGCTTCACAAAGCTTCCTGGCAATACGTTAGTAATGAATAAATATGATATATTTACTCATTATAATGTTGGTGCTGAATGTACAACACGAAAAAACATAATTTTAATCTGAAAAAGTATTTTTTTATAAAGAAATTAGACGAAAATATAAAGCTGGTGACGCCAAATCATGTCGACGATCCAAGCTTCGGTTAGGTTAGGTTAGGTTTGGTTAGGTTTGGTTAGGTTTGGTTAGGTTTGGTTAGGTTAGATTAGGTTAGGTTAGGTTAGGTTAGGTTAGGTTAGGTCTGCCTAACCTAACATATCATATTTATTTATTACTTACGTATTGCCAGGAAGCTTTGTGAAACTTGTGTAGCTTGTGGTAGCTTGTGGTAATTAGATGGACCCGTGTAGACTGCTTATATCAATGTTTTCTTCATTAAAAACCCCAAAATCTAGTTCTGTTTTGTTTTTATTCTTGCCGGTGGCCATCTTGAATGTTGTTGTTGTCTGCAATGTGAACACTAGGGCAACTTTTTCTCATCCAATTTTTCACTTCACTTGGCACATTCGTCTTATCTCACCTATTTTTCCAAAGCACTACACCTTTATGTTCCCTGGGACACCACTCACTATCTTCAACCTGTACTACAATACTTAGGAATTGTGAAATATCCTGGAGTTCCTCTGTTGCAGGTGTTGACACAAGGGGTGTCACCTTTCGAATGAAACATGTAGGAAACTGTAGGAAATATGTTGATCTTAAAGACATTAATGTTTATTGTTTTTGTTGATCTTAGAAGCATTGATGTTTTGTTGTTTTAAAAATCTGTACTATCAATGTTTATATTAAGTTTTAATTTATTTTCATGTATTACCATTTAATTAAATATTGTTATTTTGATTTTTGCTGGTATTTTTTTCTCACAGTGGTCACTAAATGCTGAATAATGTACAAGTAATTATGGAATAAGGAGTTTTATGATGAATATGGAATATAACGGGCAACATTATGTTATGTTAGCTTTACTTTAAATGCTGTATTTTTCAACTTTTAAGACTGCATACAGTACTGTACTGATTATGAACTAACTAACTTTAGAATATAAAATTGAGTCAAGAAAATGTAAAACATATTTTTATTAACTACAAATAATGTGCATTATGATTTTCGATCTTTGAATTTTGACTTTGATGTCTATAATATTTTTAATCTTCATTTCTCAGGCGGCCATCAATGGACTTTGCACGGCGACCATTAAATCAACAACCTTTGTCTATCTCAACCCAACAAATTGTACCTCAGACAGCAGCTATGCCAGCAAGTGGTATTGTCCAGCAACCACTACTTCAGCCGCAGCCACTGCTTCACCCACAGCCACAGCCACAGCCACAACAACAGCAACAGCAGACAGTTCTCAGCAGTGGGAGCTTGACCCCAACAAGTAACCAACCAGCCCATAAGAGAGCGCAATATAAAGAGGGCACTAGATTTGGCCTCAAGAGTATGGTCAGTATGGATGATATGCCAGAGCTCTTCGCATCCTTTGACAGTAAGCCTTTATTAATTGTCTTTTGAGAATTTGGCCACAGTTCTGAAATATTATTTTGTTACTTTTCAAATGACATAAAAATCAAGGCATTTGTAAAATGTTAATATAACAGATTAAATTTAATTGTGGATCTTCCAAGTAAACACACAGCATAATAAAAAAACATTATTATTACAATTTTTACACTGTTAAAACATTATTACAACATAAAAACATTAAAATCATATTGGTTCATTGTATGTTTACTGGACTGAAAGTCATAAAAATGTAAAGTTAATGTTTTGTAAACATGTTTCCAAGATGCCTTTTATGTTGCTTGTCATAGTGTAGTGTCAGGTAATTCATTGTGAATTATCTCTTTACAGAGATAATTGATAATACAAATTTATTTTTTCAAGATTTAATCAAATTTGAAGATGTCCTCAAAACTTGTCACTGCAATGTACAGTATAGTACAGTTCTTAACCCTTTTACTGCTGAATAAAATTACACTTTACCTTTATCAATTAAATGGCAGTCTTTTCAAATGCACTTAAATTGACATGTTTTAGTTTCAAGAATACATTAGCAGAACTAAATTTTACACATTGCTAGTACCCATAACTGGATTTTAGGCATAAATTAAACAAGCTACAGCTTAGGACCTTACAGTTTGAAGGGTCTCTCAAAATCTCAGTAACAATTTTTTAGTATTATTTTCCTATTAATAAATATCTCAAACTAAATAATTAAAGGCATCTTTTTAAAGTTGCAAAGAAGCAACCCTCTCCTCCCGCCATCCTTCCCCACATAGATTTGTTATACATCTTGGCGATGGTCTTGCCAAGTTCAGTCGCCACGCAGTCTTATTCTTACTCTCTTAGGACCTCACCTTATCTAACTCTGGCCCTGTCACTAGGTTATAAAAGTGATTAGATTAATAAGATGTCTACCAAAATATGCATATAAGCATTGTTAGCAGACTATGGGATAACAATTCAACAGTGATCGATTTACCAGGCAGGTTCTTTGGTATATGTCTACACAGTATGCAATTATTTTTTGTTTTACAGGGATTCAATAAGGACACTCTTTATATTTCTTCGAACAGATTTTGTTTTATCTACATGATTTATCAATTTCATATATTTCATAAAGGAAGAACTATACTGTAATTTTAACTTGCAAATACTTTTAGTGGCAGTTTGTTAATGGGCATGATACAGATAATTGTTTTGTATGTATTGGACATAAAAAGAATAATTAAAAGCTTACTGTAAAAGGGTATAAATTGTACAACAAACTATGGGTCTACACCTAGTGTTAAACTAACGGGCATATCTTTCTTTTTGACTAGTTCTAGCTCCACACTTCCCATCCCTACACGAGTTGGGTAGGTGTTTTAGCTATCGGCATCACCAACAAGTTTACTCCAATCAGTGTTATGCTTTCCTCAATCTAACATTTACTGCTCACACTTTCTTGTAAAAGAAAGCATGAATTGTTGAATTGTCACATTAGGCATGTCCTTTGAAATTGTCAACATGACACTGGTTGGCTTATATTAATTTGTTGGTTGACCTTGATGTCAGCATGATCATACTATGGGTGTGTGTGTTTTGTTCCGAGTCCTTACTCCCGTGCTGCTTTCTTACGTATTCAGACCTGTTGTAATTGTTGGAAATTCCTACATGTTTACTACCTCCTATTTTAATTTCCTCCATCTCAACTATGTCTTGAAATTGCCTCTTGTTGTTCATGTGCAGTGATTTGATTTCTTAAAAAAAAAATTTTTTTTTGTGTAGTAAGTATACTGTATGAGCAAAAAACCAGCATTGAATGAATTGAAACGCTGTTTTCTGGGTGAGCCCAGGAGACTCCCTGGAGTTATTGGACTGATATGTGCTATATTAGTCTGGGGCTTCAGTCAGTGGAAGACTGCCTACCAGGGACCAGAGCCAGAACCTGGCCCCCTCAGAGGCACAGGGAGCAATGGCCTAAGGAGACCCACCCCCCCTTGTATTTGGGGTGGATATATATATCATTGTCTGCCATTGACTGGGGTTAGGCACCCAGAAAGGTAGACTTTTCAAAACAAACCCCCACATGGTAGAAATTGCAGCAGTAGAGCTTGGGAACCCAAGACCGAACAGAAAAACAGAACTCCCAAAAAGAAAAGGAAACAAGCAATCATCATTCACTGCCACTGTGCTGTTTGTCTGCACAGCCCTCCTCTCCCCTCCCCTCCCCTCCCAGTGAGGGCTACTGTGATCTGCTGTGACCTGGTGAGCACTGGTCACAAAGCCCCTTACGAGAGATAAGGCATCCGTGAACACATCGAGCGAGGGCGAACCTGAACCACCAAAGGTACTGTACCCCGAAAACCCCAAAGAGGAAGCCAGGATGTAGCAAGGCTCCCCAGGGGGGGCAAACCCAGCAGTTGCAAGAGAGGTAGAAGGGATGGACTCGAAGGAACCAGAAAAGGTGCCGAAGCCATACCAGACCCAAGGGGTAAATCAGCATGGCAAAGTTGCTCATGAACGAGGTAACAAAAGAGGAAATTCTGTCAAGGAAGAGCAAGCTTATGAGACTAGGGAGATACAAGAATGTTTTTCTGCAGAGGGATATGACGAGGGAATAGAGAAGGAAGGCTTCAGAAGCAATGAGGAGACGCAAGGGGAGGGATAGGAACGGGGGGGAGCCACAGGACTTGGCACAGTATCTCCAGTAACCTCAGAGGGGAGTGGAAATCTCCTCACCAGCAGGCCAATATCCCCAGGGAGGAATATAATAGAAACCCACACAACCATTTCCCTCCAATCACCCGCACCTCCCCAACTAGTAGAGACCCTCTTCAGACCATGGTCTCCCCTGCTCTCCGACCCCAGGGCCCCCCATGTTTCCTCCCCATGCCCTCCTTTTTCCCCAACCCCTTCCCCCACCTCAGGCCCTCCCTGTTCCCATGCCTCATGCCCTCCCTTATTTCTCCAGCTCATGCCCTTCCTTATTTCTCCAGTCCATGCCCTCCCCAGTATCCCAGCCCCAATCTCTCCTTTCTACCACATCCCCTTCCCTCCCCCACCCCACCCCAGACTCACCTACCCTCCCAACCCCTGACCTCCCGGCCTCCCTACCCCAGGACCCTTACCCCAGGCTCCCCTTCATTCCCCAACCAATGACCTCCCTCCCCCCCCTTCCACATGCCCCTCCTGCTATCCCATCCCATGCCCTAATTGAACCCCAACCCCCAGACCCTCTCAGCTACACCACCCCAGACCTTCCTAGCATTCCCATACCAGATCCTCCCAGCCCTCCCTCACACCCCAAATCCTCCAGGTCCTCCTTCCTAAGCCCTCCCACCTCAGATACCCTTTGTCCCCCTTCTCCAGTGGATTCAACAAACTGAGGATGGAAAGAAGAGAGTCAGTTTCAAAGTAATGTACATGAGATGGGGCAAGTGAACTTAGGGAAAGAGCACAAGAAGGGAACTCAGATGTAATTGGACTCACAGAAACAAAACTCTCAAAAATAATAATGAATGCGGTGTTTCCCCAGGACTACACTGTAATGAGGAAAGAGAGGGAAGGAAGAGGAGGAGGCAGAGTGTATTCCTTACTTATAAGAAAGGAATGGAGTTTCGAGGAGCTGGTTATCCCAGCCTGCAAGGGGGTTAAGAGACTACATAACAGGCACCATGACAATGGGAGGACCAAGAGTAGTAGTAGTAGCAGTGATATATAACCCTCCAGTACACAACAGAAGACCCAGGCAAGAGTATGACAGAAACAACATGGCAGTTAACACAATAATTAAGAGAGCAGCCACTGCTGCCTGTAGAAATAGATCCCATCTGCTCATCATGGGGGGGGGGGGGCTTCAATCACGGAAGGATAGACTGGGAAAACAAAGAACCACATGGAGGTGAGGAAACATGGAGAGATAAACTGTTGGAAGTGGCAACAAGAAACTTATTATGGTCAACATGTCAGGGATCCCACAAGAATGAGAGGCAATGATGAACCAACGAGACTCAACCTAGTCTTCACTCTGAATGACTCAGACATAAGGGAAATCGGTTTCGAAGCCCCCATGGGAATGAGCGATCACAGTCTTCAATTTCTAGTGTGTGGTTTGGTCAACATGGTTGGGTGTGTTTCCTTTCACCTAATGCAACTGTTCACTTAGTAGTGAAACTAGGCAACTGCCATGAGGGTTGCATTCTGGGGAGGGTCAGTAACTTGACCTTCAAGGGACCTCGATACAAGCTGGAAGTGTAATTACCTAAGTGTAATTACCTAAGTGTAGTTACAGGATGAGAGCTACGCTCGTGGTGTCCCGTCTCAACAGCATTCTTTGTCATATAACACTTTGAAATTACTGACAGTTTTGGCCTACACCACCTTCTCACCTAACTTGTTCCAACCATCTACCACTCTGTTTACAAAAGTGAATTTTCTTATATATCTCAGGCAGCTTTGCTTCATGAGTTTAAATCGATGACCTCTTGTTCTTGAAGTTACAGGTCTCGGGAATTCTTCCCTATCAATTTTATTGATTCCTGTTACTATTTTGTATGTAGTGATCATATCGCCCCTTTTTCTTCTATCTTCTAGTTTTGCATATTTAATGCCTCTAAATATTGTAAGTGTATGTAATAAGTGTGTAATTACCTAAGTGTAATTACCTGTGTGTGTGTGCGTAATACATATATATATATATATATATATATATATATATATATATATATATATATATATATATATATATATATATATATATATATATATATATATATATATATATATATTAGTATATTTTGGTAGCAGTCTTTCCTGTAGACATATATTATTAAATATGACCGAAAAAGTAAGATTAATAATTCTAACACGAATTTTCTCAATCTTTCGTACATTATGCTTCACTGTTGGAGGTAAATAAAAAATCACTTCTCCAAAATTCATTTTTATTTCTAGTCTGACGCGACACGGGCGCGTTTCGTAAAACTTATTACATTTTCAAAGACTTCACAAATACACAACTGATTAGAACTTGCGTTTCCCTGATTTTATATCTACATTTGAGTGAGGTGGGAAGGGTGATGTGGCATTACATTTGAGTGAGGTGGGAAGGATGATGTGGCATTAACACAAGACAGAACACTAGAGGATATTAATAGGGTATTAAAAGTATCAACACAAGACAGAACAGAAACAATGGGTATTGAATAGAAGTGTTTGTAGAAAGCCTATTGGTCCATATTTCTTGATGCTTCTATATTGGAGCGGAGTCTTGAGGTGGGTAGAATATAGTTGTGCAATAATTGGCTGTTGATTGCTGGTGTTGACTTCTTGATGTGTAGTGCCTCGCAAACGTCAAGCCGCCTGCTATCGCTGTATCTATCGATGATTTCTGTGTTGTTTACTAGGATTTCTCTGGCGATGGTTTGGTTATGGGAAGAGATTATATGTTCCTTAATGGAGCCCTGTTGTTTATGCATCGTTAAACGCCTAGAAAGAGATGTTGTTGTCTTGCCTATATACTGGGTTTTTTGGAGCTTACAGTCCCCAAGTGGGCATTTGAAGGCATAGACGACGTTAGTCTCTTTTAAAGCGTTCTGTTTCGTGTCTGGAGAGTTTCTCATGAGTAGGCTGGCCGTTTTTCTGGTTTTATAGTAAATCGTCAGTTGTATCCTCTGATTTTTGTCTGTAGGGATAACGTTTCTATTAACAATATCTTTCAGGACCCTTTCCTCTGTTTTATGAGCTGTGGAAAAGAAGTTCCTGTAAAATAGTCTAATAGGGGGTATAGGTGTTGTGTTAGTTGTCTCTTCGGAGGTTGCATGGCTTTTCACTTTCCTTCTTATGATGTCTTCGATGAAACCATTGGAGAAGCCGTTATTGACTAGAACCTGCCTTACCCTACAGAGTTCTTCGTCGACTTGCTTCCATTCTGAGCTGTGGCTGAGAGCACGGTCGACGTATGCGTTAACAACACTCCTCTTGTACCTGTCAGGGCAGTCGCTGTTGGCATTTAGGCACATTCCTATGTTTGTTTCCTTTGTGTAGACTGCAGTGTGGAAACCTCCGCCCTTTTGTGTAGACTGCAGTGTGGAAACCTATACCCCCTATTAGACTATTTTACAGGAACTTCTTTTCCACAGCTCATAAAACAGAGGAAAGGGTCCTGAAAGATATTGTTAATAGAAACGTTATCCCTACAGACAAAAATCAGAGGATACAACTGACGATTTACTATAAAACCAGAAAAACGGCCAGCCTACTCATGAGAAACTCTCCAGACACGAAACAGAACGCTTTAAAAGAGACTAACGTCGTCTATGCCTTCAAATGCCCACTTGGGGACTGTAAGCTCCAAAAAACCCAGTATATAGGC